ATTGTTGACTAACGGTCACAAAAGGACAGAAAGACACTCTAAAAACTATATAAAATGACAAAACAAACTATATAAAATGACCACAGTCTCTTCAGACTGTAACTCGATGTTTGAACAGAGGAAAGCTGATGGATGTTAACACGTGAAGGACATATAATGAGTGGAAAGAACGTAAAATAAGTTGTATCTGGAAAACTTCTAAAAGCAAATGAAACGATAGAAATTAAATTAAAAATAATAAATGTGAAGGAACCTTTCAGAGTCTTTTAAGGTTCCAGGTCTCCAGGTTTTACCTTCACATGTGTGTCGTACTGAGCTTTGTGCTGCTGATTTAAACGGTCGCATCGCCTCGACAACCTGACAGATGGTTTCACACGTGGAGCCTGCAGGTCAAAAAACTTCCTAAAGTGAAGTTTAAAACTCAGACTCTGGTTCCTGAAGTGGAAACACAGATTGTTTTAAAAAGTGCTAAAAGAATCTTTTAGTTCTCTGACTTTAGTCTCTGGAGCCAAAATTCAGTTTAACTTGTCAGATCAACTCCCTTCCAGCAACAGCAAACAGCTGTTTTGAATCAAACTCCGTAAACTGATCCGTGCACCGCCGGCACAGCTTCACACGTTCAGCAGCGTTCACTCACTGTTAGGACGATATTTAGCTCCGTAGCTGCTGAACGCTCCCCTAAATGCACTTCAGCTACAACTTCATGATGCTAAAAATGAGTTTGACGAAAGCTGTGAGAGCGAAACCAGACAGCTGACGCGCTAGAACAGTTTGAAGCTGCACAGAGCTGCAGGTCTGGGTGATAAATTCAAGCAAACACGTGGATTTCACTGCTGTCGAAGCTTGAAGTGCAGGTTTGTCTCCAAGCAAACAAGAAACTCTGGTTTTCATCTTGCATTACACAACTTTCCCCTCCTTCCACATGTGAGGGAATTCTCCTGCTGCACGTCTACGGCGGTAAGACGTGTTTATGGAGCTTCCTCGCCCACCTTTGTGCTTGACGGTGTAGAAGCCGAGCGCCCGGCCGTCCCTCCACAGCAGCTTGCAGCTCTCGGTTCGAGGGTGGAGAGAGAACAAGTCCTCCCCCGGTGAAGGATTGTCCACCAGCCGACTGAGCAGGAACACCATCACCCTCTCCGTCAGCGACTCCACCTGCAACACAGATTAGCTTCAGAGCTGAAGTTTTAAAAAGTGGCTTCATTTAATGAGCTTAGTGACACGAGACCAGTAAAGTTTTACATTAATTTCCTAACTTTAGACTTTTTTGATGTTCACCCTTTTCTTTCATGCCTGCTTCTGCTGTCGAACTGAGTCGTTCTCCATAAAATCAACCAAATATTTCACCTCCACATCCTGAAACGGTTCCGTTGAGCGACGTAGTTCTTCTCAGACTAGGTAGACGTTTCCAGCTGCTGTCCGATACCGAGAAACTCCTACAAACAGCTGGAGGCAACACCCTATTTCTTTAATAGCTGCCTGTAATTGTTCATCATGAGTGTCTATTTATGAACTCAGAAGAAAGATTCTTACAAACAGCTGGAAGCAACAACTCCAGCTCCTGCTGACGTCTCTCTCTGCACCTAAACTCTTGTGTCTTTTCTCCCCTCCGCCCCTGAAAAGGCAGGAACAGCCATGATTGTTGCTGGACTGAGAAAGAAGGACTACAAACATGGCTGCCTCCAGGAGCAGCGTGTAACGTTATAGTGACTCGATCAGCGGGACAAATCAACAAAAGGAGGTTTACCACCAGGCATTTTGAAATAAACAGACTCTTGAGAATAAAATGTGCTGACATAAATTATACCTCCTGTATAATTATAGCAGCACATGTTAGCGCTGCATTGACGCTCAAAATTTTCTAGCTATTGCTGGAACTTTAGTTTGTTTTCAAGGCGTGTTTTTTGCTCTCTGTGATAGTTTTTTTGGGGCCGATGTTGATGCTTAAAGGTGGAAAGAAGTCTTCGATGGTCTTCAGTGATATCTAATTACTACTCTACAAACTGTTTAAATAGTTCCCTAAATGTATGGATAAATTATTGAAGTGTTGATAATCATGACCTCATGACTGCACAACAACAGCAGATCGACTGATGAAACTTCCATCCATCATCTCTACACCTTAATCCTCACCAGGGTCATGGAGGGTGGAGTCTATCCCAGCTGACTCAGGGTGAAGGCAGGTTCACCTGGACAGGTAACCAGTCTATCACAGGGCTACACTTAGAGACAGACAACCAAGCACACTCACATTCACACCTACGGACAATTTACAATCACCAATTAACCTCAACATGTTTCTGGACTGTGGGAGGAAGCCGGAGAACACGGAGACTCCACGCAGAAAGATCCCTCACCGGGACAGCACCAGCGACCTTCTTGCTGCGAGGCAACGGTCCTAATCACCGAGTCACCTTCCAGCCCGACTTATGAAACTTTTAGGGCTTAAACATGATATGAGACGACGGGACTATTCGGAGATCAAAATTGATTTCCCGATTCCAGCACAGCGAACGAATAGGTGGCTATTTGGGTCCAGTCCTAGTATGAAAACCCACACTTTAAATACTCCGGGTCATATTTGCCATCTTGCGTACCAACATCAACACAAACTTAAAATGAACTTCAAACAAACTATGGTTACCATGCCTGTCAAAATAAAAGTTTTTTCAAAATACAAAAACAAGTCCAACCTGAGACACACATTATCTATTATTGATTTTTGCCCAGCTGTCCACGACCCACCCAAAACAGGTCCGCGACCCACTTTTGGGTCGCAACCCACCAGTTGAGAACCACTGGTATAGATGATGGATGGATGTTCAGACCTACGCAGCATGACAGTGACGCTGACGTCCAAACAGAGGCAGTGAGGCCGACTCACCGGCAGCAGGCTGCTCCTGGATCTGCTGGACGTTCGCAAGACGTCGTCCAAACTCCACCACCTGTCGTGCAGGTAAACAGCCACCACTGGAAGGAAACGCAAAGCTTTAGGCGTTTGACAGGCGGCGTCTGAACAGAACAGAGAGTTTCGGGTCAGAACCTCGTGTTGGATCATCGGGCGGATGAAGCCCCAGCAGCACGCAGGGAGGCTGGTCGTCCTCAAACAGCTGCAGCTGCCGGATGTTTGCTGCTTTTATCGGCACCTGAGCAGAGACGAAGACGAAAACAAGTTCAGACTGGACACGTTTTTAAAGATTTCAATCAAAGAGCAGAATGAATAAATGCTGCCTCGGTTATCTAGTCGCAGTAACTGTAACTAATTCTGAATATCACAGACATTGGCGGGAAAAACGCATCATTTTTAAGAAACAGCTGCAACGATTATTGATTAATCAGCTGAGAGAAAACAAATCAGCAGATGTTTTAGTAATTATTTAGATTTAATTATTTAAAAAAAGAGAAATATTTAACAGATTTTAGATTCTTGAATTTGACCATTTGCTTGTTGTTTGTGTTTTATATGACAAAAATTTGAAGAGGAACTAGTTTTTGTCCATATTCATTATGATTATTGGGTGATTAGGCAGAAAAAACCAGTACACAGGCTGCATTTGGTGCTGCTAAGACGAAACAATCTGTCCGAGCAAATAATCAACGGACGAATCGACAATGAAAAATCATACATCGTATAATTTTGGTATGAATAGTGAGTATTAACGGTTTTATTTCGACTCATTTCAAGGATTTTAATAAAAAGAAGTGGATTCGCTACAGCCATGAATGATTCTTGAATTGCTCTGAATCAAATTTCTTCTGTTTGGTTTGTCTTAAAGTGAGAAATTTACAAGAGAGTTCTGGATCTATGCGTGTGTTTGCAGGTTTTGTGTTGCTCAGTGGTCATTTTGTGTCTCTTTGCGGTGGTTTTATGTCTGTTTTTGAAGGTTTTGTGTTGTTTAATAGTCATTTTGTGCCTTTTTATTGGTGGTTTTATGTCTGTTTTTGCAGGTTTTGTGTTGCTCAGTGGTCATTTCGTGTCTCTTTGTGGAGTCCTTGTGTCTCTTTCTAGTCTTTTTGCCTTTCTGAGTGGTGCTTCTGTTCATTTTGTTGGTGATTTTGTGGTTCTTTCGTGTCTGTTGTGTGCTCATTGTGTGTCCGTCATCCCAATCATGCATCAAAGCCCTTCAAAATAACTTCAGTTCATCAGAGACATTCTCTTCTACTGTTAATAAAAGTCTTTCTTTGTGGTTGTTGTGCGTCTTTTTTGTACTTCCTGTGTCTGTGTGTTGCCAGTCTGTATCGTTTTGTCATGTTTTGTGTCTCTTTGTGACAATATTATACGTCTGTTTGTGTCTTTTTGTGTCACTTGTGTTGTTTTTATGATTGACAAATGATGAAAGTGTCACAAAAAGAAGTCCTTTGGTACCTTTGAGGTGTGTGATGAGTGGATCCAGTGGCTGGTATCAGGTTCTGAGTCCACAGCAGACAGGTAGCGTTGAGATGCAGATGTGAGGTGAGTTTCATCCACATCTGGCAGATCTGCAGGAAACATCACCTGTCAGAGGAAGAACAGGTGTAGTTACACGTTTATAAAGGGCTTAGAAACACAAACATGAGCCTTTGATTAGTGGACGTGTGGATCATCACTAAATGAAAACTGCTGCAGGTCACATCAGGCGTCCACGCACCTGGTCACGTTCAATCTGAGCTGACGTGCTCACTGACGACACGACTAATGAATCACGAGATAATTTGTGATCTCTGGCCAGCTGATCGCTGCTTGTGATATAATCAGGTTTCGGGAATTAACGCAGGTGTTAGTTGAACGTTAACTGCGATGAGTTCAAGTTACATAACTTATAGCGATAAGAAAAATAAAGGCTTTAAAATAAAACAGCTCAACACCTTTAGAGGTTAATTAAAGCCGCTACGTGACGCTAGTGTGGATATTTTAATGAGCTTTGACTGTTTTCGTACCAGATATGAGAGACGCTGTTCAAAGCTGCTGGACTTTGGACAGTTAGCTTACGATGCTAACAACAACAACAACAACAACTGTTAGCCTCATTAGCCTCATTAGCTTCATTAGCTTCATGTTGTGAACGGACTCAGAGTGAACTTACTGAATGCTGACAGCTGAAGCTCTGCTCGCTGCCCGTAACTTCCTCAATGTGACTGACTTCACCTGAACCTGTTTTTAATTTGACCTGCAGCGCCACCGTCCGTTCGCACACGGACACTGCCGCAAACCGCCCGGACCGCACGCAGCACTGCCGCAAAAACACTGCCGTACTTCAACGTAAAGGCACGCAACAAAGATTTAAATGTTTGTCTTTTAAACTGATGTATTTGTGTTCATTTAAGATTTTTTAAAAAGGTAAATAAAGTTTAATTAAGTTCTATAAAAATAGTTATTATTCCTGTCATCATTATTATTATTATTATTATTGCTGTAATGAACTTATAAATACATATAAATATTTTAACTGAACTTAAAAACTTACACTAAAAAATAAAGAGATCCGTACAACTCGGATTATATAATAAGAATAACAGCAATAACTATTGTAATAAGTTGTAAATATTATAATTAACAACAATAATGACAAGAATAATAATTAATAATTACAACAAATAATAATGAATAATTAATTAGTAACACTGCTACTAATAAAAACATTCTAAAAGCTTGATATAACTTACTTTAAAAAAAAAAAATCACATAAAATCAATTCAGATTCCCTCTAATGATAGTCATAATAACATCTTTGTAAATGTTTAAATATTTGACGATCATCTAAGTGATGGAGAAACATCATGACTAATGGTTAATGAGCAGAACCCACCTGTCTGCAGGTGTGTGTGGGGGTGAAACCACGTGGTCCATCATCATCATCATCATCAACAACAAGTTCATGTTTATTCATCACACAGTGCAGAAATGTGCATTTTTACAGCAGCAGAACGTTACAGAGGAAACATTTAAGAAATGTTTGTTTTCCTTCAGTCTCCTCTCAGACCATCTGTGACGTCACTGTCCTCTGCTAATGTTGTGGTCATTTTGTGTTGTTGTTGTTGTTGTTGTCCTCATGTTGTGTCTCTTTGTAGTTTGTTTGTGTTTCTGGAGGTTTTGTCTCTCTTTTTGGTTTCTTGTGTCTTGTCATTGTTTTTAGTCTTTGTGGCCATTTTGTGCCATTTGTGTCTCTTTGAGGTTATTTTTGTGTCTCTTTATGGTTGAATTGTATTTTTTGTGGTGGTTTTTTGTGTCTCTATGTTAGTTTTGTGTCATTTCATGGTGGTTTTGTGTCTCTCTGTGATTGTTTTGTGTCTCTGTAGTTGTTTTGTATGTCTCCGTGCTTTGGTTGTATTTTATTTTGAAGCCGTGCAGCGCTGGTGTGTGTTTGTGTGTCCGTATTGCTGCTGGCTTTCCTCTCCCCGGTCGGGTCGCTGACAGCAGACTGAAGCTCCGTGTCGGTGTCGGCTCGGTTCGGCTGCACGTGAACCGTCATGTTGTCCGGCTGCGCGGCGGGTCTCCGGCTGCTGCTCCCCCGCCGCTGCGTCCTGCTGTCCCGCAGCGTGACCTCGGGAAGCACCGGCAGGGTGAGCGGATGTAAACGCGGTTCTGTTGTTTCTGGTTTGCTTCTCAGCAGCTCCGTAGTTCCGACCGGAGCAGGTCCATGGTTCGCTGCGGTTCCGTTTATCAGTCCAAAAGGCAGCAAATAGACCAAAAACACAGCTAGCTTTCTTAAACACACACTGAATATCGCGTTTGTAGATAATTATTAACTTCATTCACCTGACTGACGTTAAATAATAATTTATTAAAGTTTTAGATTCACTTTAGGAGGATTTATCGGAAACACTTCCCAGTTTATCGGCTGTATTTATGTTCCGTAGTAGCTAGCTAGCTGATACGTTAGCATACATTCAGAGCTAAGTACTAATTTTATTAAAGTAAATCAATATTAAAGCATATTACTACGTTGTTAAAGTATCTTTACAATCCTCAAAACTTATAAAATCACCCGAACAATAAAATATCACGTTCCTGAGTGAAAAAAACAACATAAACCCTGTAGAGATTTTGTCTGTCTTTTTCAGATAAAGTTAGCATTAGCCGGCTGTATTTATATTCAGTAGTAGCTAGTTAGCCGATATGTTAGCATACATTAATAATTAAATACTGATATTAAAACATGTGTCTACGGTGTTAAAGTATCTCTAAAATTCCCCAAAATTCCTCGAAACCACCTGGACAATAAAAAGTGATGTTCCCTTAGTTATAAACAGCATAAACCATGTCGACGTCATGTAAGTATTTGCGTCTTTTTCGGATAAAGTTAGCTTTAGCCTGCTGTATTCTTATTCAGTAGTAGCTAGCTAGCTGTTATGTTAGCATACATTCATAATTGCATACTGATATTAAAACATGTCACTACGGTGTTAAAGTATCTCTAAAATTACCCAATCTCCTAAAACCCCATGGACAATAAAATATAGTGTTCCCTTAGTTATAAACAACACAAACCCTGTAGAGGTTTTGTGACTACTTGCGTCTTTTTCGGGTAAAGTTAGGGTTAGCCTGCTATAGCTAGCTGATGTGCTAGCGTACAATCAGTTTCAGAGCTAAAATTGTGTTAATGTAAATTAAAATCTAAACATGTTACTGTGCTATTAAAGTATCTCTAAAATTCCCAAATACTTTAAAAACTGCCTGGACAATAAACTATTCTGTTACCTGAGTGATAAATAACATAAACCTTGTAGAGATATTGGGTATTTTTGTGTTTTTGTGTCTCTGTGTGACAGTTTAATGTCTTTTTACTCCGGTTTTGTGTGTCTGTGGTTATTTTGTGTGTTTTATGGCTATTTTGTGTCTCTTTGTGGTTTGTTTTGTGTCTCTTTATTATTGTTTTGTGTGTTTTGGGGATAAAGTTAGCATTAGCCTGCTGTAGTTATATTCTGTAATAGCCAGCTAGCTGATATGTTAGCATACATTTAGTCTCAGAGCTAAATATTGATTTTATTGTTATAAATTAACCTAATATATGTTACTTTGATTCGGTTAAAAATAAAGGGTTTTCCTGCATTATGGGACAGCGTCAGACCTAAATACACTTCAGTACAATAACATGTTTAAATATATAAAGTTTAACAGCTTTAATGTGCAGCTGCATTGATCAGGAAAAGAAATATATCAGTAACAGATGTCTACCAGCATTCCTGTCCTGTGTCATTTGTAGCAGCAGAACTTTGTAACGTCATAAATGTTTATATTCCTCATTATTCTCCATTAAAACAACCTGTTGACTGAAGCAGCTGCACGTCAGAGCTTCATTTTGTGCAGAAGAAGAGTCACATGACACAGAGTTTATCACAGAAAGTCTGACTTAACAAAGTAGACTATGAGCACCGTCTGATATGTGTTATCTCTGCCTGGGGCTTTGGGTTTTGTCGAGCTGCTTACACAAAGTCAAAGGTTGGATGTGTCAGACTGACTTCATGCCCACAGTAAAGTTTTCGTCACTGCCTCCTTCTGCACTGTTAAATCTCCCCTTCAGACATGTTTAAAGTTCATATGTGTACATATGTAAATGACGGTAAAGTTGTTCTGGATGTGCAGAGAGCGATGATCTGCTTATCTTTGGCTGATGCTTGGTTTATCTCAGAACATGCTGTGTGCAGCTGGATTTGTTTTGTACGTGTGGAAACCATGGAAACAGCAGGTTTAGCCGAGCGCCTCCCTGAAGAAAAAACTGTTTATTATGGGATGGAGTAGACGGAGCAGCGTGGATTTTAAACCTCACACACACACAGGATGTATTTAGGTAATGAATTAACCCTCAGGGTCACACGGAGCATGCTCAGTGTGTCTGCAGCTGTCACTTCCAATTTCCTGGTTTTCCAGTTTTTTCACATCCAGCATTGGTGGTTCAGTGGTAGAATTCTCGCCTGCCACGCGGGAGGCCCGGGTTCGATTCCCGGCCAATGCACACACGTTTTTACATTTATAGCCAAGCACACCTAAATACCTCCAGAACACTTGACAGTCTGCTGGACTCAATGCACAGATGTAGTTTTTCCATTTCCAGCAAGTAAACAAAGTGCTGCTAAATGTTCCACTGAGTTCTCCGACTGGTCGCTTTCAGAACTCTGCTCTGGTCCGTTAATCTGACGGCAACCAGACGTGCTTCATGTCTAAATGCTCGCTGGTCGGTAAACGTTTCAGCATGTCGGACCGTGAACATTTCACTTTGTGTACTTGAATAGTTGTTTTTTGGTCTTTCTGTGGTCACGTTGTGTCTCGTTGCTTTAAACTGTAACTCACCTCCTTCGCTGTAGATCTAACCTGACATTTTGGCCACATATGTAATTTTCAGCTGTTTGTCAAGCATTGGTGGTTCAGTGGTAGAATTCTCGCCTGCCACGCGGGAGGCCCGGGTTCGATTCCCGGCCAATGCACGTGTATTTTTCATGTTTCACTCTTTAAGCTTTCCGTCAGAGTCACGGTTGTTGTTTGTTGCTTCCAGCTGTTTTTTTTCCCCCCACTGAGTTTATTCAACACCTGCAGCATCAGACAGCAGCAGTAAGAGAAAGAGGCTGCACACATGCATGCACAACACTGTGTCTACGTAACTGTGGCTCTTCAGAAAACCCAAGAACTGTCAAAAGTGTTGCTGTCATGGCCGGGACTCCAACCAGCACCTCCCAGTGGTTCTTCAACAGGCATTGGTGGTTCAGTGGTAGAATTCTCGCCTGCCACGCGGGAGGCCCGGGTTCGATTCCCGGCCAATGCAACTCTCCTTTTGATTTTTTATCAAACAGCAGCAACGTTGCAGAATCTGAGCATAATATGAAGAAAGACCCCCTGTCTGCAGTTAAAGCTATACTGGACCTGGTATGTGCTGTATGGAGCCAGTATTGTGGATGTGATGATGATCATGTGGTCGCGATCTGTCGAGTCACTGGGAGTGTTTTTGTCGTTATTTCTGTCTTTTTGTCGTTGACATTTTGTGAGCTTCTGGGGTTGTTTTGTGATCATTGTGTGTCTCTTAGCTGTTATTTTGTGGTCACTTTATGTGATTATTTTATGTCTTTTGTGGTCATTTTATTACCACAAGCAGAGGTTTTCTCTTTTTCTGGTCGTTTTAAGTCTCTTCATGG